TAATTCAATTAACCAATTTAGCCAAATTATAGCATAAACACATATAACGATCCAAACCATTAAATCTATTCTGAATGCTATTAACTTCATAGTACGGACCTGGATTACGTCGAAATCGAATCGATAGCTCGAACGGAAGACAAATCAACGAAATCAACCGAACGGGTCAAATCGAGTCAAAATACGAAATTGACCAATCAATCCGGCGTGGGGGTTAATCTGCCGGCGATATCAACTCGGGGCAGCGGCCGGATGCGGCGACGGTGACGGACGCCGGCGACAGTGGCGCTGGGCAGCGACTGGCGGCGGATGGCCGCTGTGCAAAGGGCGACGGCGGCTCGAGGCTCAGGGACGCTGAGCGGCGGCTACCGGCGAAGGAAGCAGCGGCGGCGCTGCAACTCGGCGGCGGCGATGAGCGACCGGCGCTGGCTCACGGCGGTGAGCGACGGCGGCTGGAGGCGAAGGAAGCAGCGGCGGCGCTCTGGCTTCCAGCGACGGGCGACGGCGGTCTGGCTTGCGCGACCGGCTGGGGAAGGCGACGGCGGCTCCAATTGGACGGCGACGATGGCGGCGGGCTTCCGGCGGCGAGCGACGGCGGCTCTGGCTTGCGCGACCGGCTGGGCGGCGACGATTGGCTCCAATTGGATGGCGACGATGGCGGCGGGCTTCTGGCGGCGAAGAAGAAAGGAGAAGAAGGAGAAGAAAGAAGAAGAAGAAGAAGAAAGAAAAAGAAGAAGAAGGAGAAAAAGGAACGGACGGACGAAGAGATAAGGTGTTTATTTAATGGTCCCATTCCAAAAAGGATTGGGCTTCGGACCCAAAATACCTGATTAAATGGTCATAACTTGAGCTCTGTAACTCCGATTCGCGAGCCGTCTGAACCGACGCGATCACAAAAATATTTCCTACGAGATGACATAAAAGTTGGGCTTAAAATCCAAATTATAATTTTAACCCCTTATTGGGCCCAATTCGTAATCAATTGCTCTAACAATTTAATTAATTCTTT